TGTGATAAATATACATTGTATATGTACAGTGTGTGTATAGTTCTTTAAACAAATATACTAATACACTTCATCGTTGCTCAAGAGACCACATTGTAGCCATGGTGTGCCTAATTCAACTCTCATGAGAAACAAACCCAAAAGGTCATTACTGAACCTAGGTCTCCTTCATGGCTTCACCCCAAAAATCTGGGGCTATATGTGATTGTCTCTTTAAAAATGTCTCTGACATAGACTGACTTCTCTACAATCATAACGTTAATGGTAGCAGTAATAGTGGTTAGTTTCCATTTGTCAGGGTGTTCTCATGGGCATGGATGAATTCTAACATACTCCCTACCCCCACAGCTTGGCCACAGCTGTAAGACAATGTGCTATGTACTGATACTTATAGGTAAATAGTGTGGGAGGGATTACATGACAACCCCAAAAATAAGGGATAAATGGGCATACTCCATGCTTCTAAAACTTGAGAGAATTGTCAAGAAATAAAATCCTAACTGGAGTGAAACATGTTAAAATGTATCTGTGAAAGTCCTCTTCTCTTCTTTTTTTTTCTTCAGTTCCCTTAGGAAACACTACTGAAATGGCTGCAGCCAATTTATTAGTAAACAATATGCAGTATAACAGTCCTTAGTGTGTATAAGGATAATTTCTTATCTGCATATGGGGGGGGGGGGCGCGGATGAAATGCACTCTGCCTCACTATTGAGTCTGACACAGCCTAGCTAATTAAAGCTTTCCTTGTTAAATTGCCTATCTCTCCCATTTTGTTAAATTTAGGTTTTTTTCCACTAACTTCTGTTTTTTCCTCCCTAGATGACAAGATTTTACACATCATCAAAGAACTGATAAAAACAGAGAATGCCAGCTGAAACTGGAGTTCAGTAACAAACTACAAAGCTTAAAGCTTCAATAGTGGCAGGAAAACAATTATGCTTAAAAAAGACTTCAGCTAACGTATTTCAACATTTAAAATGTGGTTGATACCAGCCATAACTTGGAAATGCTGCATGAACTTGACAGAAGTAATTTTGTAGGTCATTTTTAATTATGAGCATAAATGTATTATGTTTACAATAAATTTTGGTGCCATTTGTTTGAATGTATAAATGATGGTAGTAATTCAGATCTTTTCAACATAAAAATGAACATGACCAATTCATATTTGCTTTGTTTCAGTTTAAGGTATTTATTAGTAGTGTACTAGAAATTCAAGATTAGGTTCTGAATCTGTATGGAATAGCTTTTAACTGCTATACAAAATAGCTTGTTCTGTTTAGATATGTAAAAACTGAGAACAAAACAGATTTTTGTGCATTTGCCAAAACATTACTTCACTGCTTTGTACCTTAAGCTGTAGATTTTATTCTGTAGCAGATTTAAGCATTACATTTTAAGAATATTGTCACTTTTCTATATGGCTCACTATGATGAGATGAAAACATGGGAACACAAACTGCAGATCAGTAGTCTTTAGCTTGGGAATTTCACTGGGATTTTGAAATTCTAACATTGTTGGGCCTGAACACCATATTTACAGACAGAGGACTAAGGCTGAAGTTTTCTTCATTTAATAAATATTGATTCCTATTTCTAGGGGGTTAATAGTATTTCTTTCCACCTGAGAAAGACAGGGCGCAAGGAGGAAAACCCAACGTGCTCTTGAAAGATCACACTATACAAAACAGACCAGAATATGTTGAGCCATCTAACAGACATTCTTTGATACACCTCTACCCCGATATAATGCTGTCCTCGGGAGCCAAAAAATCTTACCGAACTATCGAACTTGCTTTGATCCACTGGAGTGCACAGCCCCACCCCCCGGAGCACTGCTTTACCGGGTTCATGTTATATCGGGCCGTGTTCTATCGGGTAGAGGTGTAGTAACAGTACAAATTTACAAAGCCACGCTAGAAGAAGAAAAAATGCAGCTATTAAAGACCACTAAAAAAGGCAAAATCATCAGTCAAGTGTGATTTAGTAAGAATTCTATAAAAGGAGCCAAATTCTCCTCCCAGCTACGCTTCCCTAGGTTGTGGAAAGGTTATTGGTGTTCTGAGCTCCTAGGGAAGCTGGCTAGTGCTGTTTTTTTCCCCCTTTCACCACTGTAAAGTGTACTAAGTTGCCTTTTATAAAAATCAATGGCTTATTCAATGTCCCACAATGAAAATATCACTTCTAACCCTTTAATTTGGAGCCAGAATCATTTTTTTGTTTTCTAGGTGTATTCATACTTTTACTGTCAGAGAGGTTTTTCAAGCCTATATGCAGATCACTTTTTATTTAAAGGTGATGTCATGCACAAAAAAATTAAATGTACAACCCCACTGATAAAAGTTCAAGACCATAAACCATTCAGCTTAATAGTTCCTATTGGTTACTTTGGTGTGTCTTACCTTTTACATCTTGTTTTTCCTGTTGAAATGCAAATAAGAAATTGATTTAAGTAGTCTGATTACAGAAAACATGTCTTCTCCCACACCTGTCTATAATGTGGCATGTTAAATGTAAATCAGTCTGATTTTTAAATGACTAAACTCTAGTGAATGTCTTGGCTAAACAAAAAAACATCAAAATAAGAATGATTTCTGAAGAATAAAAGTTTGCCGTTTATGTCCATGAATGTTGGTGGGATTAAAAATTCTACAATAGTGAGTGGAGAAGGTCCTCATCCATTGGTTTGTTTGCTGTAGCATGTTTTGAGAGAGAAGGTGGATGAGGTAATTCATTGGACCAATTTATATTGATGAGAGACAAGCTTTAGAGCTTACAGAGATCTTCTCCAGCTGCATAAGCTCTAAAGTTTGTGTTTCGCAACAGATTTTGGATTAATAAAATACATTACCTCACCCACTTTCTTTTGGTGACATCCTGGGAGGAACACTGCACCAACATTATAGATAAAACATGTGTTGTCACATTTAACCAAGGGTGCAGTCTTTGTATTTTTTTTTAATGGGGGCTAGTGAAATTCCTAATAAGGAATCTTACCCATGAAAGCTATTGGAAACTATCTACTAAAAAAGAGGTCAACCTGCTACCCGGAAGAGCAGAGGCACAGAAACTACAAATGATTACAGTGGCCTTCAGCTCCTATAATGCAGTGTAGCTCAGTTCTGATCCTTGCTCCCTGGGTAGAGAGACAGCCTTTGTGTGATCTTTTGATAAACCTTCTATTTCAGCCCTTCGCAGTAACTTTGATCTACTTTAGGCATTTAGCAGACATAAACTAAGTATGACAAAGGTTGCGATCTCAAACAGAAGTCACTATGTGGCTCTTTGGAGGATGTATTTTATTGTAAAGGTAGTGCTGTGCTTTGTTCTCCAGGAGAATCGCTGGCCTCATGGCTCGACGTGGGGGGCCTACCTCCTCCTCCCCCTCTCCTCGCTGCTTCTGCGCTCATTTGTTGAAGTTATTAATTCACTCCCCGGGGTGCCCTCCTTCTGCGCGCATTGCCCGGCCCACGGCAGGCGTGGTCAAATCAAATCCCATAATCCGGGTACCGCTGATAGAGCAGCTGCTTGGCACGCAAGCCTTAGTCGTGGCTCTCTAAAGGAAGACGCTGCCGTTTCCCTGCTCTGGCCCATGACTCTGCTTGTGGAATAACGCGATCCAGCCGGTGTCAGTAGAAAGTACCGCTGGTGATATGATTTTTTTTTTCGGAGATTCGTGTGTCCTGCATATTGCTTCTGTATTGTCTGCAATAGGAAGTAACTGAAATATATGAGATCCCCTCGTGCAAGTTGGCAACAGGCGAACCTGAAAAACGGCCTGACAGACAGGCGGTAGGCAGAAGACATTTGCCTTAAATCCCTATATAAAGTAACGTTCTCACGTAATTCCACCACTTCCATTCCCCAGTGTTACAGCATTTAAATGGTTCTCTGGCCAATAAAATGTTGAATGAAATAGCCAATGGGTTTTCATCAAAAATGGAGAAAATGTGAAGAAATGTTATTTCTGGTTATTTCAATTATTATAATTCTAACTGATAGTCGATCTCTTTTATATGTATACAAATACGATCTACTGGAAATCTGGAATAAAGATGCTAATTTATACAGAGCAAGACTGGTCGGATTCCCAGCTGTTAAACTCGCAGGAGTCTTTGTTTGTTGGCATCAATCATTCCCTTCCGAAACAACACAGCAGGAAAAGTCCAACAACTTCAGCCGCTGTGTCTATTTCCCTGCCACTCACGTGTGTTTAAGTCACTCGCCTGGGCTCGCCACAGCAAGGCGCTGAGGTTTTGCAGAGAGTTACCGATGATACTTTCGATTCCTAAAGCGAAACAAACCCCAGTTCTCGTCACAAATCCATCCCTTCCGTAGCTGCCTGCACAAGTGTTACTGCTGGGGCAGGGATTTCATTACGAGAAGGAACGGGCGTCACTTCAGCCCGGGACAGGAAAAAAAATCCTCAATCTCATCTAACTCATTCGATATTTAGCGCTGACCTTGACGACTCATTCTCCAGGCTTGTCTGGAGAGGCCCGATCCTACCAGACCCACGGGCAAAACTCACTGACTTCAGTGGGCGCAGGCCCTCGGTGGTAAAACCAGCCCCGGCAGCTGTATCCCTGTGTCCAGCCGGCTGTACAGTGTTTATTACCCAGAACGGTCCCTCCCATCCTGGCCCCATCGTCAGTGCCACAGCGTGACCAACTCATTGCCCGGGGATTTAGGTGCTTCAATGACGGAGGGTGAGAAGTGCCCTCGCAGGGGCTTTCCCCGATAAGGCTGCACCCAGCGGCGCTGCCGGCGATGCCTGGGGCTCGGCGCTGCTGCTAGTGCTGGCGGGGTGGCAGCGCTGCCGTTGCCCCAGCGCCTGGCCCCGCCTCGGCTTGCGGGGCGATGGGCCGGGGCGGCGAGTGGCGCTGGCGGCCGAGCGGGTCTTTAGCCGGGAAAGCTCCGCGGGTGATGTCAGCAGCAGGGGCTGGGCGGCTGCTAAATAGGCGGGCGCCGCGGCAGCCGCCTCACACGGGCCGGGCAGCGCCATGGTCACGCACCCGCTGAGCCACGAGCGCCCCGGCCGGCCGCGCAGCCCCCCCAGCAAACAGCGGCGGGCGGCGGGCGCGACCCCCGAGGAGCGGGCTCAGCCCCTCTGCCGCGGCCTCGGCCTCCGGGCGCCGGTGAAGAAGAGCAAGTGCCCGAGCTGCCCCGGGCAGCGGCCGCTGCAGGGCGACGCCGCGGAGCTCTGCCCCCCCGGCAGCCCCGAGCCCGCCGACCGGCTAGAGCTGCAGGCCTTCCGCGACTACGGGGCCAGCTGGTACCGCTTCCGAAAGGGGCTGGAGAGCAAGTTCCACCCGCGCGAGCCTCTGGCCCAGCAGCCGCAGGTAGGACAGCGCGGGCGGGGGTCGGCACAGCCCGGCCCGGACACCCCCCGGCGCCCCGCACAGCCCGGCCCGGACACCCAACGGGCCCCCACCGGCC